TGGGTGGATGGATGGGTGGATGAATGGATGGATGGGAAGGATGGATGGATGGGTGAATGGATGGGTAGATGGACGAATGAATGGATGGATGGATGGTTTAATGGGTGGATGGATGTGATAAACACTGTGGTATATCATGGTACATACCATACACAGGGCCATCTTCTTGTTGTTCAATCTCATTATTTTCTGGTACAACAGCRTCCAAGTCCTCTATTTGTTCTTGAGTCAAATATTCTGCCTAAAAATCAATTTATTTGTAATATATGTAACACATCAGCCACCATCAATGTCATCATCATAACCATCATCAACATTATCACCATGATCATTACCACTATCATCATCACCATCATCATCACCATCATCATCACCATTACCACTATCATCATCACCATCATCATCACCATCATCATCACCATCACCATGATCATTACCACTATCATCATCACCATYATTATCATCATCGACATCGATATTGCCATCATCACCATCACCATCATCCTTATCATTATCACCATCACCAACGTCATCATCACCATTACCACCATCATCATCACCATCAACAAGTGTTGTACACATAGAATATTAAATGTAGTAGTGTGTTAACCTACAAGCATCTTCTTTTGTTTCTTTTCCAGTTCCTGTCGTCTTCTGAACTCAACCCAGTAAAGATACTCAAACTCTGCAACCACAACACAAATAATAATAATTAATAACAATTAATACTTTCCGCTGTGTCATTCTTATCTATTATAGTACACTCAACAAAATTACTCGACTCTGATTGGTCGAGAGGAGCACAATTATAGCGTTAATTGTACTACGTAGGAGTACCGAATTAAGTTGCTATGGCAACACGGCCAAAACAATGTCAAAACAATTATTTTCTATCATTTTGTACTTAAAAAACATATAAATAAAATTTTAAAGCCGTAAGAACTAATGTTTTTTATGCATTTCAGTTGCACGATGGACTGAAAATCGGCTGCCAAATAGACAAAGATGAACGGTGTCACTTCGCATTTTTTACTGAAATTATGTTGAGTGAACTATAAACAAAAAATCGCATGATCTTCTCGTACAATTTGGAATTAAGACACTCGTAATGTTTTGAAAGTTCTTTAATTGCACTCACCTAAAGGCTCGTGCAATTACAAGAACTTTCAAAACATTACTCGTGTCTATTAATTTCCAAATTGTACTCGAGATCGTGCGATTTCCTATACTTATYGTATGTGTCGTGCTTCTACTAACACTTCTCTTGTGTTCTGCCAACCCCTGCTTGCTTTATGACAGCACACAGCTTGCCTGTTTTCTATTTCTTCATTATTAATTAAACATAAAAAAATAGAATATTTAAATAGGACTTATTTTACCTTTATAGACTGGAGCCTTGAGAGGATTTTTTGGAAATTTAGAGGCATGTGAATGAACTGTAAATAATAATAAATAAAATAACAATCTTAGGTCTGGTTAAATGTTACTAGCAGGCAAGGTTTAACACAAGGGAGATTTAATTTATTAGCACAGGGGCAGGGGGCAAAATCACATGGAAAGCTTAACAAACATAACCCAACCCCCTCCCCCCTCCATGGTAGAGACAACACTGTGATTCATGGGAAGCACTGGTGGCGTGCGCTGCTAATGCACTGCCTCTCACCAATGCGGCCCGAGTTCGTGTCTTGCAGATCTCGATGTCGTATGTGAGTAGAGTTGTTTGTTGGTTCTCTCCTGTGCTTCGAGGGTTTTTCTCCGGGTTCTCCGGTTTTCCTCCCTCCTCAAAAATCAACTTCTAAATTCTAATTCGATTTCTGGGCTTTCACTTAGTTTGGAGCCTAGCTCTGTTGTGATTGTCCRACACTGTGATACGACAGTGAAAAGCTTTGTACATTTTAGATTTTAGATATAACCCCCCCTTCATCACCTTGCATTAGTTCTCAACCCCCCTCAATATGTAATGACTCCCCACCCCCAACCACTTTCTCAAAATAACATAACCCTCTATAACTCTTAATTTTGGCAACCCCCCCCCCCCATCCCCCCGCCTACATGCACTAATAAATAAAAGCCCCCTAAATGCTTAATGGGGCTTAGACCTAGTACATTGAGCGGTGTCTAATCCAGCGATCAACCCACTTTTATGCACACACAGCAAAAAAGAACAAAAATGCGAAAAGAGACTGGTAAAAAAAATTGTAACGATTAACCTTCTTAAAAAGTTTTCTTTTTGTGCGCTCCTGCAGTATTTTGGTTTTCTAAAATATTTTTGAACGATTTTGCATGAAATTCCATTGACCTTCACTGAAACACATGAATATTCTATAAAACTGAGGCTGAGCAACAGAGAATTCATAACTGGGATATTCTGGAGTATTTTTGCTGATAGAATATCACAATGACCGCAATACTTACAAGCCATTGTACAAAACTCTTGTAGCGGTATTAGAACTTGCTTCTTTTCTGTTGTTTCATTTCTTTTTCTTTTCTTCTTGTTATCTTTTTTGCTCATTTCCATTAATGATGCAGGAAGCTTGAACGGCCTCCCTAAAACAGAATGAGACTCATTCAGCTGATTGATACCAAGCAGTAGAATACTCTCTGGTTGATGGCATATGACGGGCAGTGTTTGTCTGTCATTGTAGGCTGGTAATGAGATTCATGAGATTCATTCAGCTGATTGATACCAAGCAGTAGAATACTCTCTGGTTGATGGCACATGACGGGCAGTGTTTGTCTGTCATTGTAGGCTGGTAATGAGATTCATGAGATTCATTCAGCTGATTGATACCAAGCAATAGAATACTCTATTGTTTGTAGCACATGACGGGCAGGAATTCCTTTTAAGTTACGCCAGTTTCTTACCCTTTCTAAATGGTTTTTCATCGTGTTTTCCAGGGTTGTGAGGATCTAGCAACTCCCATGAATCCTGAACCTAAACGATATCACTTCTTGTTAAAAAATATCCTTCACAATCATAAAAGGATGTTTGCATGATGGCATCAATGACCTCTACTATCAGACTCCCTTGAACATTTTCTAGTGTACAGTGAATTAGAATCAATTGTCTTAATATTCTCATGAGCAAATAAGAATTTGAATAAGAAAGAAAATTCGCAAAGCATTTTGGTGGTGGTAGTCAAATGATGCATCATGAAAAAAAAGACAAATACACAAGAGACCATTTGTGTCTTTCGTTTGATAAATGTTCTGGTTGAGTAATAGCAACTATTAGTCACTAAATAGATACTATTAGTTAGTATTTAGTTTG